AACCTAATTCGTAATTGTAACCACAATTTAATGAATCACTACTTGAAAAAGTGTCTATCGTAATGCCTCAATGTGTCACTAAAGCCGCCTATCGTGACGCTTAGTCTATTGAGACGATAGTTAAAAGCGTCACATAGGTGGCCGCCATGATAAGTTTTTGTGGCGATTGGAGGCATCACGAAAAGACTGTTAGTATGACGCTTTTGTCGTCACAAATATGGATGTATAGTGACGATTACATGCGTCACTTTATTAATCCTCAACTACCATAACAACCTACTTATATGATGACGAAGAGCATCTTTAAATGTTGGTATCGTCATGGTTTTTAGCGTCTCTAAATGTAGAAATCTTGACTCTATACGTCGTCTTTAAATATTTATATTGTGACGCTTTTTGTTGTCTTAATACACTCGATTGTGCGACGACTTCTCTGCCCCATAAAAAGGTTTTTTGTGACGATTTATTCGTCTCAACAGAGACTTTCTAGGATTCTTTTGTGTCTCATGAATATATCTATAATGACGCTTTGTGCCTCATGAATAACCCTATAGTGACTGTTCAACTTGTCTCAATAGGTATTTTTAATATCTTACTGATTGCATTTTTTAATATCCCCTACTTACATATAATTAATCATATATATACATAATACATAAGAAACCGTATATACGTAATACATAAGAAACTGTGTTTGAACTCAAATACAAAAAAACCATATTCAATCTCCATCAACAAACAGAATAAATCCTTAGCCTACAATATAATAGAAAAGAGAAGTTTCACAATCTAAAATCATTCATTTTGTAATGTCTGAATAACAAGTAATCCAACACCAAAAAAAAATTAAGAAAATCTAATCTCCAAAAGTATCCAAAAATACGACGTCTTCAAAATTTTTTATGCATCCATAATTACCTATTAAAATGATCATAAATACCAATTAAGCTGAAATCAAAACACTCTTAAAATATAATATTATTGATAAGATCATATAAACAAGATTATTACCAAATATTGTGGCCAAGCAACCGTCATTCCAGTAACCTCGCCAATAGTTTTAAAATGGTAAACAGGGCGAAGTAACTCCTCTTCTGGTTCAACTCCTACATTAATGTGAACCTCACACCAATTTTATCTTAAACACATTTTTCCAACTTCTTTTAATGGATCTAAGCTCCAAATATAACCAATAGCCACAGTCTTGGATGATTCAATCAAACTTCTCATAGATACTTTTGCTCCGACCTACAATTAATATTTATCAAGTTTTACTTGACTTTTCAACTACATACAAAGTTATAAGAAAACAATCAAAATAAAAATTAATTTTTTAATCGTAAATAAAGTATTAACATAAAAAGTGATTGTAATAAAAAAAATATACATATATATATGAGATTCGTAGTCAGCTTACGCGTAAAGGCATCATGCTAGAGGATGATACTGAAGGACGACGAGAGATTGAATGATCATGAGATGAAGATACTGAAACAGCTTTGGTAGCTTCTGGTGCTAATCTTTGTTTGTTCATTTTTATCAGCTCTTGTATTTGTTTACTCTGCTCCATAATAAGCTTATCTTGCTGATCAAGTATTTGCTTCATTGCTTCAAATTTATTTTTATTTCCCATATACGTGTGAGAATATTTACCTTTCCTAGGCAAATCACCATATACAATAGATGCAGTGACACCTTTTCCGTACATCTTTACTCTTCCCCATTTATCTTGCCCAGCAACTTGTGAAAATATATATCATTCGGGCCCGTATCTTTAGCCCCAGGAAGTCCACTAACTAGTTCTTTCATCTTTCGATGTACATAAAAAGAAATCACATTATAGCACCAAATATTCAACACATATTTCTAATTAGTTCTCCTAAAGTCACAATTTGTGCAAATAAGTTTGGTTAAGAAATGTTGATTCAGTTCTTGAAGTACGAAAAAAAATCATATATACCAAATAATCTGCTATGTTGGGATTAGACGTCTCCCCGTTTTTGGTATGGCAAAAAGATCCATTCTTGTTGGTTGATTATCATTCCTAAGTTCATCAACATCTTTTTCATCGTCTGTTCTTTCATCATCATACTCTACTTCTTGCGAGGTCAATAACTCTTTCTGCAAAATAGAACACTCACTTACATAAATACATTACTCAACGAGTTTACACTTAATTAATATATTATAACATTAACATATTTTACAATCATACTAACCTTCATATTCTCTCTCACTTGAGCAAAACTTCTTTTTCCAGTAATATGATCAATAGTCTTTTTTTTTTCTATTAGCTTTATTTTTGTCATTTATCTTCTAAATATATAGAAAAATGCACTTCAGTTAACATTAATATATAATCTGTATTTATTCATTTATAGCAATAATAAGTATTAAAATACCGTTCATACAAAATATAATAACGTTAACTTACTTTTGCTGCATTAGAGCTCCAATAAAGCACCAAGTCTTTCAATTATATTGATCGGGGAAGACTCTTTCATCATCAGCATCAGGACGTTTGCGCATGTTTTGCTCCAATGATAATTTTTCATCGAAGTATTTTTTTTTTACTCTATTCTTCCAATTTCTCGAACTTTTAGCTAAATTCATCATAGTGTGCTTTTCAAAGTTCGGTGCATCATAAAACTTATCCTACATTACCAAAATGAAAATGCAGTTATAAAATATCACAAGATATCAAATAAGAAAAAACTTAAGAAGAATAGCGTTTCATATTACCTTAACTAACTCCAACACTTTGCTTTTCAATGACTTTGGCACATTATGCCAATCTTTCATATTCAGTGGAACTAATTTACCATTTCTTACTAACGTACCAATGAATTCCACGTATTCACTTTTATAAGGACAAATGGCTTGTCCTAACTCATTGAACTCAACTTCTTTTCGACTTCTCCTAACCCAAACACGAGCCATATAAGTAGGTCCTCTAGTTTTTTTATCACAAAAATTTTCTGCAAACATTAAATACAAATTTCGATTAATAAAAAGGAAATCAAGTTCTTCCAAAATTGTTAATGTTATTATTGATATTTTTAAACCATACCACCCATATCACGTGTCTCATTTTCTAAGTCATTTGAATGTGAATCAGATTGATGAATTTGATGCTCATGCCTGACACGTTTACCACGTCTTATGTTTCCCATTCCTACAAAATTGCAGTTTTATAATTAAAACTTACTTGAGGTATCTCCATTCTGCTGATCTAGAGTTCCAGTAGATACCAACATGCCATTCTTCGTTCTTGCCATACCTGAAATATTACAAACTGTAAATTCAATCTTAACAGTGAAAAGTTATTAAAACTAGTAATTATAATCAATAAATTAATAAAATTGCCACATAAATACTATCTAAAGATGAATAATAGTATTAATGATTCATTATTGTTATTGTCAATGAAAAGAAATTCTCATTCATTACCATTATCGCAAAAATCCAATTTTGATATTTTCCTCTTTTTTTAACTATTTTATTTTTGAATTTTTTTTCCACTGGTTTCTGGCATTAAATTTTTTTTATTGTTTTTCTGTCTGATTTTTCCACCGCCGGTCTGAAAGTTGACCGTAATTGTATTGTCATTAACAGTTGTACTGTTGTTGACAATATAATTATTGTCAACCACATCAATATTATAGTTTTTTGGTTTTTTTTTTATTTTGTTTGATTAGTTGACAAGTCAACGTAATTATATTACTGTTGCTGAAGGTAAATTACTGTAAATACAATAATATTACCGTCAACCACATCAATATTATTTTTTTTTTGGTCTTTTTGTTTTGTTTGATTTGTTCACCTATTAACGTAATAATATTACTGCCTACTGTTGTAATATTATTGTAAAAACAATAGCTTTATTGTGGTTGACGGTAATATTACTGTTTTTTGAGTAATATTACTGTGGATGACAGTAATATTACTATCAACCACATCAATATTAATTCTTTTGACTTTTTATTATATTTGCATTTACACAATGATATTAATTTTTGTTGTGTTAATATTATTGTGCTAGAGAGTCATATAGCAATATTAATGTGTTAAACTGTAGGATAGTTATTGTTATTGCGTTAAACAGAAACATACTTCATATGACTGTCAACCACAATAATATTACTGTTTAAAGGGCAAAAAGATGTTGAGGAAAAAGTCAACGTCGGAGACCCGCGAAAAAAGAAAGGAAATAAAAGTATGAAATCAAAAAGAAAAAGAAGAAAAAAAAGTCAACGACGGTGACAGATAAAATTGTACTCAAAATTGAATAAATTGTAGAATTTGTGGTCAAATTGAATTAAATAATGAAATTGAAACATATTAAAATGTGAGGGGTATTTTTATCTTTTACCCATCTGGACAATATGTGAATTTTTTTGTAAAAGAGATTTTTATCTAAACACATTTATGAATACGTATCACGCAATAGAATTCTTGGTAATGGACCATTTCGGAAATGAAAATCAGAACCAAAATTGGAATTTTTGGGGAATTTCATATGTAAGTTCGATTCTGATTATAAAAAAAAAATGGAATTGGAATCCGTGTTCGGAAATTCCATTTGGATTACGGTCGTATATAGTGGTCACTGAAAGTTTTGAGTAAGATTAGGACTAGGTTGAATGTCCACGTATATAAATGATTCTACTCAGAGAAAGACAAGAAGATAAAACCCTCATATTCTGTTCATTATTTTCTAATTAAATATCCCTGCTAGCTACTTTTTGCTAATATGCTCCTTTTTTGAATCATTCATTCATTCATTCATTCATTCATGTCTGCTCTCTCTCTCTTTCTCTCTCATCTTTCTCTCTCTCTAACACATACACGGGCGCACAGTAATTTTCTGTAGTAGCAAAATATCAGAAACCCCAAGAAGTCCAAAGATACATCATATATCATTCGATCATCAAATTAAACAAGAAAACCACTATTTATATATCAACAAATTAAAGAAGCCAATTATATATATACATAGATATTAATGGGGAGAGCTCCTTGCTGTGACAAAGCAAACGTGAAGAAAGGGCCATGGTCGCCTGAAGAAGATTCCAAGCTCAAATCCTACATCGACAAACACGGCACCGGCGGAAACTGGATCTCTTTGCCTCTAAAGATCGGTATCGATATCCACATATACATATACATATACATATACATATACATACAGATACACAGACTGTATATATATAATTGTTGTTTACGAATAAAATGAATGTGCAATTGTGCAGGGCTAAAGAGATGCGGGAAAAGCTGCCGCCTGAGATGGCTGAACTATCTCCGCCCCAACCTCAAACATGGTGGTTTCTCTGAAGATGAAGACAACATCATTTGCAGCCTTTACATAAGCATCGGTAGCAGGTAATTAATTTTAGTTCTCCCTTTTTTATTTTTATTTTTGTATTCATCTCTATTTAATTAGGGTTAAACCTAATATATTCGAGTAGCGCTAGGTCAAAATAATAATTTGAAATTGCATGAACAGGTGGTCTATAATTGCAGCCCAGCTCCCTGGGAGAACTGATAATGATATAAAGAACTATTGGAACACAAGGCTTAAGAAAAAACTCCTCGGAAAACAACGCAAGGATAAGTTACACGATGCGAGAAGGAGGAGTACTGCAAGAGGAGGAAAGCACAATTACCACTCCGGCCAAACTCCGGTTGCCGCCTACGAGCCGCCGCCGCCAGCTGCTCAACTTCCTCCTCATGATGTACTGCTTCCACCTATACCCTACTCGGACCAAGAGCCTCGTTTTAACAACGAGCACTCTAACATCCGAAAGCTACTCGTTAAACTCGGAGGAAGATTCTCGAATGGCAGTAATCAAAATAATGTTATTGATGATGGTGAAGAGCTCAAATTTCATTATTATCCCGCCATAGATGAATCACTACTCATTCCACCGGTTAATTACGATTATTCCATACCTAATTCCTCTTCTCAAATTCCTTTGCTTGATTCAACATGTCAAGATGTTCCTTGTTTGCCAAATAATGAACCCCTTTTCGATATGAGTACTTTGTTGAACGGGCCGGGCTTTAGCTTGCCGGCTGAAATTGAACGCGTTGTGTATGAAAATCAAGACAAGTTACAAGGGCTGGAGTTCTTTTACGATGATATTGTTAACGGTACTAATTATACTACTGCAAGCATGGAATGGGGTGAGATGAACTCATTGGTTTTTGGAGCTGCTACTTCAAATAGTTTTGGTATCGATCAAAAGACGACGAGGTACCCCGGAACTCAATAATAAGATCATATGATCTCAATGTTGTATATTTTGATTTGGTGGTGTATATTTAATTTGGGATAAATTAAATCGAACTTAATTATTATCACTTGGCAAGTACGATATCACTTACTTTGTGATCGATCATTGTTCTTGATCGAGAAGTATAGGCCGATCACATAGTAAGTGTACTTTACATGGTACCGGTTAGAATTTCTTGTGGATTTCATTTTATTGGAAACCCTATTTACTCTGTGTGGTTATATACGTAATTAGTTTGTTTTACGAAGATTATTTGTACGACTTATACACTGTCTAAGTGTGGAATGAGTACCCTCTCACCTTGAGTATGTCTTGTGAATGTAGAGCTTTCGAATGAGCTTTATAGTAATGCTAAATTCCTACCTGAATGAATTTATAAACCCTAAAAAATTGAAAGTGTATATGTGTTACAACCTGTGTTTTTCTGAAAAAAATGTAACATATGAATGAATATAGGACCTAATTTATAAGAATTAAGGTTATGCATATATAATATATATATATATATATATATATATATATATATATATATATATATATATATATATATATATATATATATATGTTATTGCGAATATTGATTGACCTAAACGAGAAGCAACATATATAAATTATATGTTTACTTACTTTAATAAACATCATTATATTGAAATTAAGTTGAGACAAACATTACAGTTAGTTGGTAATGTCAAATTAGTTAGGTGCATGATAATGCATGCACATGCATCTTGATAAGAAAAATGTTTGCAGGTTATACACATGCACTGGATGACCATGTAAGTTATGAAGTGCACATATATATATATATATATATATATATATATATATATATATATATATATATATATATATATATATATATATATATATAGCCTGACTTTTGCTCCTAATATGAACTTTGTTAGGTAAGCTAAGGTCAAAGGTTTGTTATATAAGTATACTGAGTTTGAAATTGCTGCACTAGTGCTTTCAAGTGAATGCATGCTCTATTTGCATTTCATTGATTTTTTTCTATATGTGGTGCACGATAATTCGAGTTTGGTGGTTTGGTATTCGAGCTAATTAGGAATCGAATTAACCTGGATTGTAGGGAATTAGTGCAAACGAGCTTTAATTTGCTGATCGAACGGATAGGAGAATATACGTTCACCTTACCAATAAAACACTTAAAACACTATATATGTAGCATCGCACAATTCTCTGACGTGTCACATCTCATATATAGTACAGTGTACGTTTTGTAGGTAAGGCGAATATTCGTACTATATATGTAACCTCGCATTTCTGGTCAACTGAATTATTTAGATCCAGTTACGAACCTTCAAATTTCATATACATATATATTGACGATGACCATGTTAATTTTTGTTTTTTCGATATGCGCTACATAAGCAAGATTTATGTTCCCTTAGCTTCTTACCACCTAATTGTCTGTTTACCTGACTTATCTTTTATCTATATATATTATAAGCATCATTTGTTTTTCATCTCGAAACCATGTTCTACATCTGACTGAAACAAGTGAAATGGAACCCAACTTTAGGAAATCAATTTTTTTTTTTTCACTTATTAATTAGATTTCTTTTTGGTACACAACACTCGCCTAGGTTTTCGTTACCATTATATCAAACCGTCAGTGAAATTTTTTGTTCGCCCCGTGGAAAAAATAATTTGATGATGTTATTTTCATTTTTTTTTTTTACAAAGAACCCGTCAACCGTATCTGCAAGTCATGTGCGACGAATTCAACTTAAAAATTAAAGTGTTCGTGGTAATGACGATCTAACTTGGATGGATAATTGAAAATTGTGCATTCGAACAAGTGGTGGAAAAAAGAACTACACATTGCTTAATGTATGACTACAACTAAGTTTTCTTTCTTTTTTTTTTTTTTGTTTTGGCACTCTACGTACACAACACAACGGAATTAAAAAAAAAAATTGTATCATATAATTTCTATGAATAATAAATTCATCATAGCATAATCAAGTAGCACGCAAAATCATGTGTTTAAATTAAATCGAATAATGTTCATGCGATTCAAATATCAAATAATTTAATCATAATTGAATAAAAAAAAATGGATTATCTACTTGTATATGCGTAAGCTCCTTAGAAAAGCTATGTGGTCTCACCGAAGTCCTCCACTGGAGCAATGATTGCCAATCTTCTTCGTCGTAATCGAATTTCACTAGAAAATTATAAGGTTTAATAGGTGAAAGAAAACGGAAGATAAAACAAAGAGGGGAGACAGCGGCATCGCGACGGTGGAGTACCGGCGGCGGCGGGGCAGTGAAGAGGCGAGAGAGAGAGAGAGGCGGGCCGGGCGAGACCTGAGAGAGATATATTAATTGTTTTGTTTGATTTCTTTATCCCAAGGCTCTTATTTACATATGTTTATTTGACTACAATAAGTCACTTACTTGACCTAAAAGTCTAAGCGCAAGCTCATTAGAAATCTTTTAAAACTCTTTCTTAAATTTTTAATAACTCTCAAATGGTAACTCCGAAATATATAACAATTATATATTCGTTCTTCGTGAATTCAAGTAAATATTGCATTTTTCACTTTTCCACTTTTGAAAATCTCTATTTCAACGATAACTACTAAATCAGAAAAATTCACAATTTAGATCACTTGAAATCCATATAAATGTTTTCCTCTTTTTCTTCTAGTTCATAATCGACTATTATAATTTTAGATTCAAGCTTATTGTACTTCGACTTAGCTAAGATTAACTAATTAATCTTACCATATTAAGGGATCTTCTCCACAAGAAGTGTGACCCTCAATGATTCAGGTGTAAACTAGTTGTGGGCTGACAACTCTTTCTGATTCGATAACTCTTTATTCGATTACGGATTTGTTCCAAGTGTCCCGATTTAGCCGATCATATCGATCAACGGTCAACGCCCAACGAGTCATGATTGACGTCTAGCAACTACGTATCATGAAGATCCCTAGATACAAATGAAATGTTTGCAAGAACGTTAAATTATAGTTAACGTATAATACGGTTGCTTTGACAAACATATGTCCCGATCGAACTACAGATATTGCACCATTGAAACCTATAATGTTGTTCGATAACTGTGTGAACGTTATAAGCTATAAAGTTCATTTGCGTGTAAACTTTATACTTACTGTAACATGTTTTCTTCAAACTTTAATCATTTGAAGAGAAATAATCATCAACTGAGTTATTATTGTTGATAAAAAGATAGCCAACAGATAATAATAAATAATTTAATCACATTATTAATCACAACCTATAAAGTACGAATGGAATTTATCAGTTCTCTTTGTTTCTGTAAAGTTAATAAGATAATAAGAATATCCTCCAAGCAAGAAGCAACGTACCAGAAAAATCCCTAAGCAAACCACCAAAAATCTAATCAAGAAATATTACATCCATACTTCAGTTCCATATATATATATATATATATATATATATATATATATATATATATATATATATATATATCACAACACCCAAACGACGACAAAATTTCAAAACCTTTTTGGATTTTTATATTAACACTTGCATTAACTTATTAATTTACACGAATATATAATTCTATTTTAATTAAATTCATGATTTTGACACTCACTATGGATTATAAAATTCCTAGGGAATTGTCGTATCCACGGGACAAGAAAAAGTAGCAGAATTCATACATAGGGATGTGCATTGAAAGCATATTGTGTTTCTGGTGAATTAAATAAATAATTATTCTTTTATTATTCTGCTTCCAAAGAGAAGAAGTAATTCTCAACTGGGCTTCATTATCTTGTCTAAACTAAGATACTGGAATTAATAAACATAATTTAATGTATATGATCTGTGCCTTACACAGAAAATCATAAAGAATCTATACATTTCTTAACTAATTAATTAATTGGGGTTATTTGAGAAAACCCCTTAAATCTTTTAATCAGAGAAGCTCAACTCATATTTCACTCTTTAAAATAAACTCATGTTCCTTCTCATTCTTCTCTAACTCTAAAATTGTCCTTCTACTATATTCTTCCCACTACACCCATTCCCAATTTCAATTTTTTTTTAAATTAATTCTCAGTTTTTTTTTAAACTAATTTTTGGTTGTTTTATGCCAGGTATCACTAGTAGAATTTTTTTTTTTTACTACTAAATTATTTGCTGCAGTAAAAAGCCGTAATAAAAGGTATTTTTTACTACGGAACAATTTTGAAGTCGTAGTAAATACTAGGATTTACTGTAGCAAAAAAATATTTGGTACGGCTATTTACCGTAACAAAGTTTTTGTCACGCCCGTATATGCTACGAGGCAAATTCGTAGCAAGTGCGTAGCAAAAGCCTTTTTACTACGAATTTGATACATTTTGCTACGGTTAATGGTCGTAATAAAAAACCATTATTCTACTAGTGTATATTAATCGACTACTAAACCGTAGTCGATTAAGGATATCGACTACTAAAATCGTAGTTGATTAATGCAATCAATTTCAAAAAGTAACAAAAACAACCATAATGTTATTATAACAACGAACACGATTCAACGGTAGAACTCAAATAATAGCAAATAACTGAAAAAACACAAAAACAACGATAAAAATACAAAACCAACTATTTTTTTTCAAATAAATATAAAAAAAACTCAAAGCTAACTCAAAGCTAATATAGCTAATGGCATAAGGAGAAAGTTAATGGTATAAGGACTTTTTTTTGACATTAAATCTCAATTTTACCCTTAATGATTTAAACTTCTCATATTTTCCAATGACGCCACCTCGCAATGAGAAAATCGAGTCAGTTGGTGTGGTTTTGTTAGCAGCTCGAGGGATTCTAGGGTATATTGAACGGAGGACAGAGTTGACAGAGAAAGTTCGCGCATGTTGGATCTTAATCGACGATATTCAGTAGTCGATTAAGGTTAATCAATTATTTTTTTTGTAATTTGTTGTTTTGTAAAAAATAGTTTGTTTTCATGATGAGCTA